TGTTCACTGAGCTAAGCTGAGCTCTGCACAGCAGGAAGGGAACATCCAAAGCCTCAGACATAATCCTAAACTGATTAAATCTTGGTATATTTACTTTCTACAATGATGATGTGGTACAAATGTAAAACATGGGTTTAATGTATAAGGCCTGGGACAGAAATATTTCCCTGGCTGGGGAATTCACACAGGATACATACAGGAAGGATATTGTCCATAAAGCAGGTGATAATAAAAAGTGATGCTTGGACACTCTATCCTATATAATTTTTTATGAGAGTGGCCAAACTCAGGCTGAAACAAATTACAAGTGAGGAAATATATTCCTTGCAGTGGCAGCAAAGAAGGACATGGTTCAGTCCTGGTTCTCTGGAGACATAACCCTAATGCTTTAAAGATTTTATGTTCTGACATGAAGGGTTGAGAGGCTCATCCCCATGAGCAGGGGCTTACACAGCTTTGCTGGGAGGACATAGCAGTGGCTACCTGCATGTGTTGTGGAGTTTGCCCCCCTTGCAGATGGCTGCCTTACAGCCAGCTGGGGCCTGCCTGCAAGGTGTGTCTGGAGGCAGGCTCCAGCACTGACCATTCACACTCGCAGTGTTCCAAGCCAGATCTGCAGAAGCTTAGATAGTGTCTAACGTGCTCTGCCCAGCGCCTGGGGCCACTCTGCATGGGGGTAGTTTCTTGAGTGCAGCATTAAGGCAGTTTAGACATATCCAGATTAATCCAGTGCACTGTGAGCTGGCTGTGTAGAAGGAACATGCACTCAGAGAAATGTGCCCAGTGTGTATTGGGCAGAGGGCCTTTGTCTGACCTTGGGCCTCAGGCTCTTCAGGTAGAGAAAGAAATCCAACACTGAGCAAGCCATCCTCCAGATCTGTTCACAGAGAAAGAAGTGGAGCAGAAAGATCTTCACCATTAGCAGACCCCATAAAGAGAGCAGAACAGGATCTGTTAGCTCCTGCTCCCTTCTGAGGAGCAAACCACTTTGAACAGGGCAGTTTAAAGGACATGGAGAGTTAGCCTGTACCTCCAAAGCCTCCTCCTTCTCATGCCAGCACAAATGGCAGAGCTGGGATGGGTGGAGGAACAACTGTACCTCAGTGGATAGAGCAGAAATCATGTTGCCTGTACTGGGGTGGCTCCAGGGGAGAGTCAGCCAACCCAAGGCACACTTTTGGATACACTTCATGGAGCAGAGTGGTGATGCCTCTCTTTGTAAGTGGAGCATATAGAATGGTGAGCCACTGAGGTCTGGTCTTGGAGTCAGCAGTGCTCTTGCATCCTTGGGCAATCCTTTCCACCTTTCATCCTTTCGGAGTCCAGTGTTCCTGTTCCCAGTGGCATGCTCACCAAGTGGCCCCCAGATTTAAAATAACCATCTGGTTTGTGTCTCGCTTTCCACATCTGCAAAGTGGAAAAGGTGATTTGAGATCTACTGCTGTGAATTAACTGGTACAGATGAGGTATTTATTATTACTGTTACTACCATGTCAAGTACAGTGTACAAATCTGAATGCATTTCTTCAGGATTTAGAGTGCAATAGATATTGGAGGGCTCTCAGAAATCAAGTTTGGGTGAAATAACAGATGACTTGAAGTTAGTGTTATTTAATGTATTACTATATTACTGTACTGTGCCTTATGAAACAGCCCAAGAAAATCCTATTATCTATCAAACCAATGTAATTAAAAAATTCCAGCCTAAATATAGTTGGAGTTTGACCACTTGAGATGCTGCTGGCCAGCTTAAGGCTTGCACCACCACGCTGTAATAAATTGGGTCAGGTTACATACATTGGTAGTCTTTCAAAGCCATTTCACAAGTGTCACCACAACTCACTGATTTTACATGTGAACAACAATCAAATTTTATCTCTACCCTAGATATTGAATGAAGGGGTTTTAGGTACAGGTCACTGAATTTGATCAACAGCTGTTCTGTAAGGGAAGAGATCAAATCACACACAACACAGTAATTGAGTCCAGATGTTTGTCTAAAAGACAAGCTCCAGCTCAAGCAGGAATTAATTACGTGAAGTCTTACAAGCTGTGTTATAAGGAAAACAGATGAGAAGATCACAACAGCCCCTCTGGTTTTTCATTAAAAGAATATAACAAACAGTTTAAAGGAACTGACCACATTTTGGCTGCAAATAGTTCAGTGAACTCAAACTTGCTGTTGTGTGCCTCAGTCAGTGATTTACTGGTGCAGCTTGCTGATGGTAACCTCAGCTCAGGCAGTGCTGGAAAAGCACCAAACCTCTACACTGCATTTACCATGCAGCAGTTCTGAACCAGACTGTCACTGTTCAAAGGGAAGGAAGAGCCAGGAAATGCATTGTTTTGGGATCCACAGGACCACTGGCTCTTAGAGGCACCCCTCAAGACTGGAGCAAAATTTTTTATAGATATGGTGTATTCCATAGGTGGGTTATAGTGTATTCCATACATGGGTTCTGGTGCATCCCATACATGTGTTATAGTGTATTCCATACATGGGTTCTGGTGCATCCCATACATGAGTTATAGTGTATTCCATACATGGGTTCTGGTGCATCCCATACATGTGTTATGGTGTATTCCATACATGGGTTCTGGCGCATCCCATACATGTGTTATAGTGTATTCCATAGATGGGTTCTGGTGCATCCCATACATGAGTTATAGTGTACCCCATACATGGGTTATAGTATATTCCATACATGGGTTATGGTGCCTCCCAAAAAGGCATAGCTCAGATCTGTGAAGGGTATTGAATACTTTTTCAATTCTGTGGTTTGGGCAGAATGAAGAACTATCTGGAACATGCACTGTACATGAGACTGCAATGTGATGCAGTTTGCTTTGCTGTGGTCGTAACGAGACTCTTATTCCTATACATATAAGCATTCTGTGTGTACATCTGCATTTAATATATTTACCAGGTGTATTTTTGCTGAGTGTCTCATGAATGAAGGTGACCTGTATATTTTCTTAGATGGAGACTGATCATGTTTCTAATTTTTCAATTGCAAATTCTATGCATGAGGCAAAAGGAAGAAAGAAGCATGAAACCACAGCCAAGGAGAAGGACCTTGACTCTAGCCAAACTCTGCACTCATGGCAAAGAGCTTAGATTGTTACATTTCTAACAGAGACTAATATGAAGTGAATTTGTCAGCAGATACAAAGGAACTGCAAATGGAAAAGTCAGCATGGGAGGGGTTTTTCGCATTCGTATCAACTGAGAAACAGTTTTAACAAATGCATTTTAAGGTGTGGCAGGAAAATCTGAGTGAAAAACTTGCAGTTTATCAGAAAACTAACACCCTAAAGTTAACTTTCACTCTTTGTTGATAGCATACATTTCCCTTCCCAGTATTTGTATAATCAAGTAACTCATTCAAGCCCTGATCCTACAGACCAAGATTAAACCCCAGAAGAGGGGGTTTAATCTCTGTTAAGAATTAAATCCACATTTCTCTATCTGATGTCTGAATCAGCCCTGTTTGCAGTGCAGCTTCAACCCCAACACCAAAACAACAGATTCATCTGCAGCTTGAGCCAGCACAGTACAAAGAAACAGGTCTCAAAACGATTCAGTCCAGCTTCCTGACACTTCTGGTACTGGACAAGTGAGCCAGGGATTCACACCCTGTTGCCTCTGCACACTTCAAGGCAGAAGGAAAACTGTTGAATAAATGGAGCTATTTCTTTCCCATTTCTATCTGAGTGTTTAGCAAAAGCTTTGGGAACTTATAGCTGAATATCCCATTTCATAAGGAGTTTGAGGCATGGAGGCTCTAAGGAGATAATTGCAGCTTTGGAACATCTCTATGCTCTCTGCACATGATTGTGGACATAGGTGAGTTCCTGAGCAGCCCAAGGTAACCCTTCAGTCCCTGATATCAGTCTGAGTTTTCTGCTCTTAAGTCTTGCTACAGATGCCTGAGGTGTTTGACAGGGTTTGGGGTGAAGCTGAAAGTACTGTGTTTCCTGGTTGCGCTTTCTTTTTTCCATAAGAAAATAAGTCTCTGCTGCACATCTGCTTCTTAACAAGGCAATAACTTATTTTCCTGCCAACATGTCATGAAATTTAAAGACATTTTAATCACAGAAATAGCTCTTGTGCTGCTAGTGACTCATCACTTAGTGCTCAGAACCAAAGGCCTCTGTTCAGCTAAAGCACAGTGCCCAGTGAAGGCAATCTGATAAATTAGATTATAGACATACCCCTGATTATAGGGGGCATATTCAAATAATATTATATATTATATGTTATATATTATACAATTTCAACCAATAGTTAACTTCAGTGTAGGATAAAAACATGAATATAAATTGAATTGTCAAAACTAATTAAAATAAGAGCAGAAGAACATCAAAATAGTCTCAGAGGCCAGCACCCTCTACTCCAGAGTTGGCTCCCTGGAGTGACATGTCTTGGTTCCTGGCGAGGGGCAGCTGGCTTCTGCGTACAGGACCTATTGGGCTGGTTCAGTTTGCAAACGGTGTGCAGGAGAAGCAAACCGTGCTCTTTAGGGCTGGCTGCCGACATGTGTGCGCAAAGCTGTCCATCCCATCTCCCAGGCTGTCAGTCTGTGCATCCACTTGTAGTGGGTGCACATCAACTGCTTTGAGATGTGCGCAGGGCAGGGGCTGCGGCTGTTTGGAGTAGCGCAGTGCGTTTTCATGGTTTCCATATAGTGGGGGCACAGGGCGGGGTGAGGCTGAGGGTGCATCATGCCAAAGGCGAGGGAGAATAAACGTGGTCTAGGATGCAGGTTAGATGGGGCATCACCCACAGGCTTGACACAAAAAGACATGTAAAGGGGTGCGGGAGAGCAGCTGAGCGAGGGTGACTGCTCGGGTACGGGCAGGAGGGAAGCTGTTGAGAGGTGCTGGCTGCGACTGGCAGTGCTGCCGCTGCCCGCGGACCCCGCGGCGGCTGTGGGCGGCTGCCGGACTACGAGTCCCAGCGTGCCCGGCAGGACAGGGCCCGCGGTGCGCAGCCGCCGCGCCGGGCACCCACCTGCAGCCGCCGGCGCCGGGCTCGGGGCCGGAGGGGCGCGCAGGCGGCGGGCGGTGCTGCGCTCGGGCGCGGAGGGGAGCGCAGGCAGCTGCCGGCGAGGACCGGCCCCACGGCAGGGTAAGGCGGCGGGATGGGGACGGGACCGGGAGGGCCCCGCGGCATCGCTTGCGGGCCCCGGGCGGCAGGAGGCTCCGCGGGGCTCCGCGCGCTGCGGTGCGAAGCGGGAGGGGCGGCTGCGTGCGGCGGAGCATCCCCTGCGCGGAGCATCCCCTGCGCGGGGCGGCTCGGCCCCAGCCCAGTGCGTCCCGGCGGCAGAGCCGCTGGGCATCATCCTCGGTGTGTGAGAAGCGGCGGGGCTCGCACTGGCGGCCGCGGCGCGGCCGGGGCTCCCACGGTGTGCGGAGCGCCCTTCCCTTCTGCCTATTGTTTTTAATAGCGCGTTTTCCCAGGGAAGGCGGCTGTATTCACTTGGATGCGCTCGCATCCTGTATGTCAGGCGTTAAATGACAGAAATCAGATGCAGCAGTTTAATAAAATACGGGAGGAAGGTATTTTCGTAGATGAAGATGAGCTTTGCCGGAGCTCTCACGCCTTCTGTACGTCAGGAATACAGCAGGATGGATGGCGGGCGGGTGAGCAGGCGGATACGCTCCGCTGCCGTGGAGCAGGTCAGAATAAATGTATCAGTGACAAGTTCAGGCACAGGATGCGGATTTAGTAACATTTAGTAACGTTTCCAATCTCTTGGTGAGCAAAATGTGTCCCCCAGACCTGCACATTGTCATCAGGTATCACACATGCTCTATTTTGTTGTCTGATTACAAAATTACCAGGGTAGCCTTCTGCTAGTTGAAGGGGGTTTGCTTCGATGGAAGCTTTGGGCGAATTTATTTTACTAGAGTAAAAATCCACAGCTGATCAATGAGAAACACGAAGGGAAATCTGAGGACTATAACACTTAAAAATAAATAAGACCTGATTATATTCATGTAACCACGCTGCGCATAGGAGTAACATAACGTAAAACCCCACATTGTAACATCATTACTGATGAAACAAGTCCAGAAATGTATCAGTATCAAACAGCAATTTAGAGATAATTTGAAGAGGTGATGATATTTTTATACCATGAATAATACACTCTGTAGATCTATGCTTCTGAAAATGTTTAGTAGAGGAAGTCTTCAGTAAGTTCTTGAGTTGTGTATTTGTAGTAAATCAGTGCAGTCTTTCGATTTCTTATCATATGAAAGCTTTTCCTTAACTGATTATTCTCAGAAATTGTCCTTGAACTTCTTCTGTTCTGCCCTCCAGTTCTGGAGGTAGGAACATGTAATGGGAAAGAAACTCCCGGGACCAATTGGCCTAATACTGCAGGCATTGCGTCCTCAAGTGCCTTTCAAGGGATACAGTTATTAGGGAAATAAACTCAAACCTGGGGCTGTACGGAGGTATCTTGCTGAAGTATACTAATGATATTACAGTCTTTTCCATGTTATTCTGCACCCATTTGCTATCTAACAGACTGTCTTTGCTGTGGTGCTGTGTGCTGTGCAGCTCTTAACTGTGTAACTTACATTCCACTAGATATATTTAAGTTTTTATCACTGTGTAAAAAGTGAAGAAGGCCACATGAATCATTTAGTGACTTTGCCAACCCGAGTTCCATATCCATCATTTCTCCCATCCACCTGGCTTGGGTGGATTTGTCTGAATTTAGCCAGTAGCTTCTGTCATCTTGACAATCCAAGTAATTTTGTTCAGAATGGCATGCTTTTCTCTCTTGCTGCTTAACTTTTCTTCCTTTCCCAATTTATTATTGTTTCCAGTATTTTACAACTTCTGACCAGCAATGTTTATGCATTTCTGCTGTTATTAATCTGCTGTAGGGTTTTTTTTTGTAGCATTCCTAAATTATTGAATCTCATAGTTTGGTGTCTTCTTGTGACTGAGTATTCCTTTAACAGAGTCTGTGGTAGCTGAGCAGGAACTGGCGTTGGGGGGCATGGAGCAGCGTCCTGTAACCACATGTATTTGCACATGGTAGTTTAACATTGGGGTGAATGCATATGTTCTGTTAATTGGCCATTAACAGAATTAACAACTGCAATTAAGTAGCAATTAGCAAGTGCAGCAGTGGCTCTGTTTAACAGTGAAACTTGGTCATCACTACTTGGTGACACAGAAATCTGTAAACTTATTTTTTCTATCCTTCTTTACTGGAGTTATTTCAAGGAGGAGCTGAAGGCCCAGCTGCTGGTCTAAAGCAGGGAAATCTGAGAACAGCAGTGACAAAAAGGTAGCACTCTGTGTGCTGCCTGTTGGCAGCAAAGGTGGAACACTCTTTTGTTAATGTTACCCAGTGTCCTTTTTCCTATTGATGTTTCCAATGAAAAACAGACCTAGGGTTGTCTTTTCCAGGGCTGGTCTGATCTATTTCTCTATGAAAATAGAAAGTCTGTTTCCAGTGACATTTCCTTCTCCTATTTATTGTTTCAGCTATGAGGATGGACACATCACAGATGGTTTCTGGCCCTGGTTTACAGCTGAAATGCAAAAAAAATATAGGTAGTTATGATGTCTCCGTACATCAAAAGGAGAAAAAAAAGCTTACAAAAGGTGCAAAAATAGGGTTTTTTAAGAAGTTGCCCTACTGTGATTGTTATTAAGGATCATAGTTCTGCAATCAGTAGCATATGCTCTTAGCCTTTGGAGCTCTTTGTGCTATGTTTTCACTTGGCATATATAATTCACTTAAAAGATGCACTGAAATGAACAAGATTGTCCATGGAATAAGGGACCCATGGCCAAAGGAATAGTGGTCCAACACTTGATACTTGGAAGATGATTCAATTCGTTGTCATGCCACAGACTTTTTGTTTGATCTCAAACAAGGCATTTCCCCTGACAGGATGGTGAAGTGGAGAGGCTCTAGTGTGGCTGATGGTGTGTAAGGCACTGCAACAATCAGTTCCATTCTTTACACAACACAAAATCTGGGAAACTGAACAGGATGAAGACACCATCTTGTAAATGTCACAGCTAATTCTGTAATGTGCATGATGTCAGAACTTATTTATCCGTGTTCATCTGGGGACCACAGACCCATGGCCTGCTGTATCACAAGACTGGGAGCATGCATGCTCTGGGGTGGTGCTCGCTCTTGTCCAAGGTCAGTCAGCACCTCTCTACTGCAGAATCAAACCTGCACGGTCTGGTGGTTATTAAAAGAGGTTAAAATATCACGGGTGCCCCACAGAAAATGATGGGGCTGTTTTCTTCCAGTGGTACAGCTCAGCACTGGGTATTTCTGTTCATGTCAGAGCTGAATCTTACAGATGACGATTTGTGGGTGGATCTGCCATTTCATAGCCCATTTTCTGTATAAAAAGACTGCTCTCAAGGATTTTCAGCCCAGCACTTCACACCAGCCTCAGTTTCAGACAGTAGCTGTGTTATGTTTTTATTTTAGAAATGCTAATTAACCTTGCATGGATTTTCAAAGAATCACTGAAGTTCTAAAGATGGAGGAAACCTCCCTTCCAGTTCCACAAGGTTACCAGTTGCAATGAGCAGCAACAGACGATGGTTGCTTCATTGGTTTAGAACTAAACTTTACCCCTCTAAAAGTGAGGGGAGTTTCTCCCTGCAGGAGACACAACAGATGGGCAGGTCTTTTCAGTTTTTTCCATTTCCCATACTTGGATGCCTCACTGGAGTGTCAGAATGCCATACAGAACACCACTAACATCTGTAACACTTAGGTTTGTTCTGTTATCCTCTTCCTGCAAGTAGGAACTGAGGGATTTAAACATAGCTTTCTTTGAGTAAGACTGGTTTAAATTATCATATGGTCACTGTATAGTCATAATTTTTGTATGGAAACAATTCTAGTGATTATGATTTATACATATGATAATACCCAGAAACAGGTTATAATTCATCAGGCATTGTGAAGAGATCTACTTTCTTCCCAGGACTTAGTTTTATGTTTTGAATGAATATGCATAATATCCCTAATGTTATCTTAGAAACAACTAGAAATTAGTTATTATATAACTTCATTCTGCCCCAGTGGAAGAAGCATTAATGTTTCATCTTCAATCACCAGTGAAGAAGCTTTCATGTTATCTGAATCAAAGGTCACTCATCCCTTTATATCTGCTATAATAGCAGTACATTCATATGGATAATTTTGCAATACACATGATGGTTATTTCCTTACAAAGGGCACGACTGAACTCCCATTGAAGTGAATTAATGTTTTGCATTTTATTTGCATAGGAGTCGTCAGTCCCTCAGTAAAGAAGCCAACTGTCATGTAAACTACAGAGTGGTGTGAGCATTACCAAGGCTCAGAAGGGCTCATCAAATTATGAAGTTTCTGATTGCTAATGATAGTCCTAAAGGTTCAGGCCTAGTCTAGTGTTAGGACAACATATCTGTTAAGTATCTAACAGTGCCTATATGGGACTGTTGCTAGGAACAGAACATGAAATCATCCCACATTAGCCGTGGAGAAAAACAGCGTTTTAAATATACATGTTTTTTTTAGGGATTCTTTGCTACAGTATGACAAAAGATGACAAACGAGGCTTGGGAAGAGAAGAGGTTTGGCCACATCATTACTTGCCCAGTGCCAGCCCTGAGCTCAGTGCCATGTGCACCTAACTGTGCTTTCCCCAGACACCCTCTCAAAGGACCCGGTTCTACAAATCCTTAAACAGGTTATTCGCTTTGATCCACCAAGTGATTGTGGTGTGTTCTGGATGGAAAGGGCTAGAAGAGGTGACCAAACCTGAGCAGTTCAGTGCTCCTTATGAATGAGTTCTTCAGAAGTTTTTTTGGGGGAAACAGGCGAAAAATTTGATAGATTCTAGAAGACAAAATGCTTTTCCACACACCTCTTCCATTTTCTACCTACATGAGTTTTTTTCGTGTGGTTACCGTATCTAGCCACATCAGGACCTGTAGCTAATACCATTTTCATTATACACAAATAAAATCAGTTTCACAATGCTTCACTGTACATTCCTATCATATTTTTGTGCTGTACTAGCCCCAGTATATTCCCTCTAGCTTTTCTGAGATTTATGAACCTCCTAGTCTAAAACTAAGGGAAATTCTGAACCACAAAACATCATCTCTAGGTATACATTTCCATATGTTTATAGTCAGAAAGAACATATTGGTCTTGGTTTTTAAGTATAAAAATGAAAAAGAAATCTTATTTATAGATCAACTAATGAAGTATTTCCCTCTTTTTTATTAAGCTTGAGCTTTCAACAGCCCAGCCTTATTTTTCATAGCAGTTCCTGGACAGCAGAGGTTCCCTGGCTGGCACTGGATTAACTGTATTGATGGGAGCACTCCCTTGGCTGGATGGCATGGGACAACCACCCTCCTTCTACTGAGCATCTGCTTGTGTTGCACAAGCACTATGCTTAATCATAATGACCCCAATCCCATTTATCTGGTCCAGTATCAAGTTAACTTGGGATTTATTCCACCCGTTTCTTGTTTTCATGTTTATCTACTCAAGAATATTGAAAGAAAGGGAAGAATTTTTCCATATAGATTAGTTTCACAACTGTTTTTCAAAGCACAAATATCCACCATTGTGGATACAGAGATAGTTTGAAATAGATTGTGTATCAGGATTTTCTTTCTGAGCATCAGTTGCTGTGATTTGGAAAAGTGAGAACAACTCAAATCTGATCATGAAAAAAGATCTTTTTTTTTTTTTCTATAAAGATGCAAAGAACTCTCATGGATTATTTTCCATTCAGCACATGTCATTTTACATCATAAATGCACATTGCCATGCAGCTTCATTCTTACCTTGTACACACTATTGAAAGCTAGAAATCCACATCATCTGTATCACAGGATTCTCATCACTACAGGACCCCAGAGACATTGTGTTTTCCTAGGTATATAGCCTGTGTTTTTGACAGTGTGAGTGACCTTATGTGCCTTTGTAGCTCCTGGTCCATGGAAGATTCTACAGTTGAGGTTGTTCCAACACTTCTGAAGCAATCCAAGCAAATGCAAGTGGGACCTCTCTGACATCTAACATTAATTCAGCAGAGGACTGATTCCCTCTCAGGAAGAAGTATCTGTATCAGCAGTAGAAAATTCCAACAGTATTATGGTATCAGCAGAAACTACAGCCTAGCTACTCTAGAAAACCCTATCAGTAGTGTATAAGGATTATAACCAAGAAGTACTTATGGAACACAGAAAAGTATACAAGAGTTACATCACAGCAAGTGTTGACTACATAGAATAATACTGATTTTATGCAGGCTGGTTAATGACATGCTTTTTTTTTCTCCTGATGTTGACAGGCATGGGTGAAAAAGCTGTCCCAAATAAAACAGGAGTATATATTTCTTTCTTTAGAAGGTATCAAAGGTAAAAATATAGCAACGGATTCTTTGAAGCTCACTGAGAAATATCTGTGCTCCACAAAGATTTAAAAGCAGCACCTGGTTAGCAGAGATGGTACCCCTTACAGTGCCTGCACTATGTATCAGCATAGATTTCACCTGCTGGGCATCTAACAGCATGCTTTGCTGTTTGGCAGTGGGTGTTGGAGTCCCTAGTAAAACTGTACTGCTTCTAAACTAAATGGAAAAAGCCAAATGGGGTTTGTGTTTCTTCAGTCCTTACTCTTATTGTTCACTTTTCCCAGTGAGTTTAAAGTGGATCTCCACAGTCATACCCATGGTCCCTCATTCTGCTTCCCTCAGTGTTCCTAACGCATTGTAGCATATTGTCTCTGTGATTACATTGCCTATCTTTCTGCTGTTTGACACTGATCTGCTTTTGTACGCTCAAAATTGCACTAGCTAGGAGGTGTTGGTTAGTTGGGATTGCTTTTTAACAGATGAAAGTTTTCATACAGTAACCATAACAAAGAAAATCAAGTGGATATAATCTGTAAAAAGTAAACAGTATGCACACACTCAGAAAAGTCAAACCACAATCAGAAGCAGCACAGACAGCATATGGTCTTGTTTATATATACAAAATTAACAGTACGAAATCCAATTAGGAATGTGGAGATTATAATCATCACATTAGACAGCAATTTCCAAAGTATGGGAACTCAAGGCTTAAGCATTTCCTTCCCAGACTGAATGATGCTGAATTGTCACATTTGTCTCATTCCCTTGGCTTCCCATAATGTGACTGTGGTGAAAGGTCAATAGAAAGCACAAAGCTAGGACATGAACTACAGGCACTTCACCAGAGCTTTCAGTAGCCTCTACAGCAGGGCGCAAGCTCCATGAAAGCCTTACTACTTACAGGGATTGTGGACAAATAAATTCCCTAAGCAGTGTCTTCTGCTTTTTTCAGTCACAGGAGAGTAGGATTCAGTTGTGAAAGGGAAAATATCAAGGGAATTTCTGCTGCAAATATATGTGTGCAAGAAAAACGTGGTTTCAAGCCCTTCCATGCACTGCTGGTCTAACAGGGGCTATCCAACATAGTGCTTTATGCCATGAGAGAAGTTAGACTGATACATCCTTAATACCTGGGTTTATATTTCTCTTTGGGTGTCCCTGCTGCACATGGTCAAATACCTTCTCTTCCTAATAATTAAAAGGAAACAGTTATGATATTGAAAACTGTCACCTGTTGAAAAGTGTCCTCTGGCACATTTCCCTCTGGCTAAGCACAGAGGTAGTTCACAAAGAAATCAGAAATGTCTGGTGCACACCACTCATGTTCTGCAGTAATTACCTATTAGCACCTGGATTCAATTTTGCAGACCTTTCCACAGAAGCCATTACACACATGATCTTGCCGTTCCCAGTAAAACAACTCTTAGCTGTGTTTCTGGATGTGAATCGTTCAGTGCCATACAGCCAAGGGAAAGGTACTGGCATCAGGCATCCTGCACAATAGAAGTGCTGAACCTCAGCCAGGGAAACCTTCGTGTACTCTTACTAGTTACTTTTCCAACACTATTTAATTAACCTAACCTTGTGATTACATTTCCTTCTTTTCCAGGGATGAGATTAAACTCTAATAAAATAACCATTTAAATTGTTAAAGACTTTTAAAAAGCTCTAATCCCCTCAAAGAAAGTTCCCAGCCCATTTAATGACTGCTGGCTGAAATGTTACATTTCAATGAGTTTATGCAAAGAAACTTAGAGAAGGCACCTGGTGCCTTAGTACAGCAATGTATTGCAGCTGAATATGTTTTTACAGTTTAAACAAATATACTTATCTCTTTTAAATAAAATGCTTTCATTATTTAACAAGTAGTTTTGATAACAAATTCGATCAATTAAACATATGTAGAACTAGTGTTCTCTTTAAGCACTAGGTACTGAAAACCATTAGCTCTTTTGGACTTTTTTGTTGCCAAAATCTCTTTCAAACGTATCACATATGATAGGACCTTATAATAAAATAAAAGATAATAAAAGATAATATAAAAAATTTTCACAATGGCTGTAACTTTGTGAAACATCAGATGCTGACTAACTTCCTAAAATTTACTCACAATTTAAAGAACAGTTGAATTCTACCACGATGTTGGGAATGGCTTGACAATGATAGCATGCTATGAAAACAGGCAAATAGAGCAGTAATAAGGTAGAAAATGAGAGTGTATAGGGGAAATAATGCTTTTTCTTGGAATAGGATGTTCAAGTGTTTCAAGTCAAGACTTATCATGTCTTGCAGTATTCATAGAATTCCAGGTCTTTGAAGTTTGTAATTCTACTGATTATTCTTGTCCCTTTCTACAGATTGCTGATTTCTAGTCTTTTTGATAAATAGCAAAATTAGATATGTTTTAATATTTAGTATTCTAATAGTGAAACCCTACATAAATGCAACATCTTCATTTAGATTTGGACTAGAAGAAAAATAAATATCTGGCTTCTAGCACATACAAATAATAACAGGACCCACATGGATGTTTTTTACTTTATGACAATTACGGACCTGGCCAAAGGAAATCAGAGTCTGGGTTCAGACATAAGGCAGCTGTAGGTGCCAGCTGGCTGTTTCCCATATCAACCATAGCTTTGAAATTTGTGAATGCAAAAAATCAACTGTAAAACTGCACAGCTGGCTGTGCAATTTGGAGAGCTCTGGTCCTGGAGTGGGAAACAGGGCCGACTTGGGAGGGCCTGGAGCACAGCAAAAGTCCCCAGCAAATGCTGTTCCTGATCACAGATTAATTCTCTTTCACTCCATCTATTTACAGGCAGATTCTGGTTCTAGAATTGGTTCTGGACAGGAAAAAAAAGGGGGACTAAAGACAGAGTTCTTCATAATGACAGATGGTATCATAGTGACTGTTGTGGCCATGCAAATGTCACTTTCTTCTTACTGATCCCTTGGGATCATCTAACAAGGAACCAAGTTCATGTTTTCAAACTTAAAGATTCTGTGAAATACTAAGTCCATGTTTTTTCATGACCATGTTTTGCAGGTGCCCCATGGAGCAGACTAATCTACAGATGATTTTTCTAAGTATATCCTTACTGCAAGAGTTATTTTGATGATGAGTATTATCACATGTTGTAGACAAACATTTTGAAATAAGACTATCAAGCAGCATACTTTACAGCTGCTTAGGTAACCAGTATGTACCAAAAAGCCATCCAAGACAATGTAGGCCTGCTTTCAGCCATCAGCAAAGCTGGGATAAGATAGAATACCACAAGGCATATCATTTTGTATCTTGTTTGTCAGCTTTGGACTCTTCTCTGTGAATCTACAAGCAGATTCTGCTGTTTCTAAGCAAATGAAATAAAACAGATTTATCTCTATGGAAAAGGATGAGTTCCTAATGTTTTTTCTTATCTGTTTCAAAGCTTCTCTTTGCTGCTGCACCCCTGAGGTTCCCAAATGTACCATACTCCTCCCTGCTGTTTCTTGGCTACTGCTACACAGGCAGCCCCAGCACTTCCCACAATCCCTTCACTTAGCCAGGACATCTTGTTGCTTTGTTTTCATTAATCAAGTGTAAATGTGACTCTCAGCATGTGGGCTTTTTAGGACTCTATCAGCTAAATAGAGATACTCATAATGCTTTATTGTTAACAGTGAGTGAAGCGGCAAGAAGCTCAGTACTCCTGGATGGTTGAAATCTTGGCAAGCAGCGTCAGTCAAGCAGTGCAGCAGGAGCCATGTCTCTGCCCTTCCGAAAAGAGTTGGAGAAATACAAGAATATCAATGAAGATGAAATACTCAGCAAACTCTCAGAGGATGAACTGAAACAGCTAGAGCATGTTCTTGATGACCTTGATCCTGAGGTTAGTGATGGTGGCCAGGGGATTCATTGTTCAAAAGCTGCCTTTTATAAATGTCACATACTACAGCATTTTATATTTGTATTCTGTTACACTAGAGGCAGTGGATCCTAAAGTAGTAGCAGCTCAGCTAGGGACATTTCAGGTTTATTCCTGCTGTGATGTGCGACTTGCTTTTGTACAAGTCACTGTGCCCTTTCTCTATCCCTTGTCTATTTAGACATGAGCTTGTCTGCAATCTAAATCTTTAATCATGTTTGTACACCGCAGCATGATGAAAAGCTTTTTATGGCTGTTATTTGTGAGCACAGCAACAAACTAACATAACGTGTTTTTGTGCAGATCAGATCTTTTGAACTTCTGAAATCTGTCGATGGTGTCATTCAGCACAGATAGTTCTAGCTGAAGGGAATATATTTAGGCATGATTAAGAAAAATAAGGCTCAGCTGCACAAATGTCATTTTCCAGAGAGCAAGGATAATATGGATATTTGAAGACACTCTCACAAAGAATTTAAAGATCTCTGCCGTAGGAGCTACTTGGTCCCTCAATAATGAGGTTACAGTCACAAGCGTGCTGGATGGGAATTCTGACTACCTACCCCAAAACCAAACTGTAGGAGTTTGAAAAGGAGTTCACTCTGGAAACAAAATACATTTGAAGAAACACAATCAAATTATAACTCCTAATTGTGTAGTACAAATTTACCTGGAAATTAAGGGTTGGCTTTACTGTTCTCTCCCTCTATTGTGTCACTTCCCTCACTATTAACACTTCTACAGTGCTTTTTCTGGTATTTTCAAGTAACTGGCATCTCAAATGGAGACACAGAACATTAAAACAACCAACCAACCAACCAACCAAAACAGCCCATGGTGCATTTGTAGTCAGGCTACGTATGTGCAGTAAATGTGTAGCGCCCTGGGCACATTTGTGCATGCATAGATAAAGTGTCTAGTGACTTGAGTTCACTGGATGCACTCAGAATACACCAGATATTTGCCATCGATCAGATTTACTGGCCAACAGCAAGTGTTTCTGCAGTACTCAGGGGCATCTGCAACATGTTGGCTTTACTGCACATGTACTGCAACATCCACAAACCTGTACTCCTTTCTGGGATTTCCTGGACTGAAATTTGGGAGCCTTACACATCTTCCTATATTAAGGGGTGCAGATACAGTAACAGGGTCACACAGTTGCATGTTTAAAGCAGGGCTTCATCTCTTTACTTCCTGCATACTTTAAATAGTTAAAGTCCACATCATTCACCAGTTACTTTCTGTGTATGCCATTCATTTCTGAAGCCCAAGAGACATCTGCATTAGCATGAAAGGAATTTTTTAAAAGATGAAAAGAGGGAGGAAAAAAAAAAATAGAGAGGGAAAAGAGTAAATGAAGAGAAGGAAATGTACAGAAATTTTATCCTGGTCTGTTTACCTGGATTTCAAACTCTGTGGTTATGTGTAACACAAAGGGCTCTGGTCTTGCTTAGGTCTTTGCTGCTGTGATTGTAAATGTCATTAGTAAAACTACTAATAGGTGGTACAATCAAGAAGCCTGAAAGATATACTGGGTTTAATGTTTACATTTAGGTAATGTGTGTTATTGCTGTCACCAGAGAGCATAATGTGAAGTAACATTCAAAGAATGATTTAACTTAAAACCCAGCACCATTGAAATGAAATTAGGAACACTGTATGAAATTGCCTCCTCTCCTTTACATGCCTCCCTCTCTTTCACAGAATGCCTTGCTTCCAGCGGGATTTCGGCAAAAGGACCAGACCACGAAACCTGCCACGGGCCCTTTTGACAGAGAGCGCCTGCTCTCCTACCTGGAGAAGCAAGCACTGGAGCACAAAGACAGAGAAGACTTTGTACCATTTACGGGGGAAAAAAAAGGTACAGTCCACCTTCATGTGGGTGTTGAGTAATGGACTGCCTGGTACAGGCATCTGCTGTGCCTGGCCTTTATGTGGAATATGCTGGGACAAAAGAGGTGGAGGCTGTTACTGTGCAACGTGAAGCTCACGAGTCAGATCTAGAGCTGTTGAGGCAGGAGATGAAGTGGTGATTTAATCTGCCGTGTAGTGGTCTGCCTTGCTACACTGGAATTACAGTGGCAAGTTTAACCAGGGAATGGGAACACACAAATGCCCATCCAGCAAAGGGTTCCAAGAGCAGCTCCCAGATCAGTAAATATCTCTATTTGCAGTCAAGCATGGACAAAGGTGGCCTTGCTACCATGACTTGGACTGTTCCCATGTCCAGCATTGGGCCCATGCAAGGGTACTGTAGTGGGGGAGTGTTTAGGAGGAAACATATAAATACCTTTCTGAGTAAGTATTGCCTACAATTGCTGTAAGTAATACCTCAGGGAACACACTTACAGAAAATGAGTATTTTTCCACTTGTTTACTAGCACATCTGGCAATGCTATTTAATGCAGACAGTTTCTCTGCTTCCCTTTGCCCTACAGCCACAGGAAAAAAAGGAAAAACAGGAAAACCTAACTCTAATCATGCAAACATTGGTAGGATAACCTTAGGGTTACAGGAACAGTCATATTTTTAAGTAAACAGCTTTCCTTTAGCATCATTATCTCCTTTTCCTTATTTATATATGAAGTGAATAAAAATGCCTACCTCAGGCCACCCCTTTATTCAAGAAGGAACTTTCTATATCTGGGTCCATTTCTGGCCATCTGATGAATTTGCCATTATTTTGATGGGATCCTCTTAAGGCAAAGGACAGATTTCAAGAAAGTCAAAGGCATCATTTTTTACTTTATGTATCATTACCAAAGATAGAAAATGTTATTTGCAGGCCAAGAGTTGTTACTATCATTACATTGTGTTATCAGTCTTGGAAACAATGGTTTTAGACAAATGTGATATTTTTCAGCTAGATCTGATTTACATGTTGTTTTATCATGCAGCATGTTCTTTAACCTACTTCTTCCACCATTGTAACATGTGATTTAGTGCTATTCACAGGGTTGATTCTGAGCCCACTGAAATGCAGTGACGCTACAGTGATTTTGCTGGTAGCAGGACTGAGCAAGTACATACTGTACAGAAAGGAAAATGGTTTCTTGTAGTATGGATTTATTACCAGTTGTTTTCAGTCTCCTACACACCACTGTGTCAGAGTAGTACAAGTTACTGCTTGCAGGTCTCTGCATATTTACACCAATATCTTCAGTCAGGTCTCACCTTACTGATATTTACTGACTTAGGGCTAAGACTTCACATTTTGCACTGTAGTCATGTCCGAGGTCTCTAAACATGCCTGAAAGAAAAGTACATAGAAAACCAGCAGTGTGTGGAATCGCATATACCCATAGGACTGGCACTTGATCTGTACAGAACTAATCCTTATATTGTCCCTGACAGTGTTGTTGTATATACTGGCCCGTTTATTTTATTTCAGTTTTCTTTTGATGAGGCTAAGGCAGTTTTATTCCAGTGTTTGCTTCCAGATACCCTTAGAGTGCTTATTAGTGCTGCTTATTAATTCCTGGTGTCCCAGGTGTGGAAGTACCAGTGCTTCACAAACACCAATAACCACACATTTCGCTTTTTTCTCAGCACAGTTAATTCAGCCATGCTAGCACTTAAAGCTATTCATAATTTGGCTTTTGAGTCACTGTGATCATTTCCTTCAAAATTACAATGTTAACAATTACCACAATTATGAGGTTATGAAACATTTTAGGCTAAAGGAATTATTCCCTTAATTTCCCCTGTTCCTTGTACACCACCAGTTCCTGACAAAGTCCTCATTATCAGCTTTAGCAGATTAAGTCAAATGAAAACAACCACATGTTCCATGATATCCGCAGTCATTTTACAATTACAATTTAATCCAAAGAATTCTACTGAATTTTCTTTGAAGTCAAAAGCCAAATACCATGAAAATACCCTCTGTTTCTTTGTTAATATTAGAAATAACTGAATTAATCTGAGGTCTGATGAGGTCCAGTACCTTGACAATTGCAAACTGGATGGGCTGCACAGTCTCATTTTCCATGCTGCTGTAAGAGAGCTGGCTTTTAGAAAGAATCTGTTTATTTTAAGCTTGGCACATCCCTATTGGTGCTTGAGTTTCTCTTCTGCTGCCCCTGGCTTGCTCAGCAGAAGGTGTCCTACAGAAAAACCAGTAGACTTCAAGCACTGGGCTTTGCTGCCTCCTTTTCTTGTTCTCTGTTCCCTTGCTCTGCACTGCAAAGACTTCACGCACAATTTGAGCCTTATAAACACATGACTGAAACCTCTGAGTGCCAAATGCACCGAAATCTTCCCATAAATTGTACCATAATCCTGCTGATACGGTGAATCTGGTGAAACATGAGGACTGCTACAGAGAGGCTGTGTGTGGCTGGCTCTGGATCATAGATTCCATGCTTGTAACTGCAGCATTACTTATTTTGACACTCAATTCAAAAAAACAATAACAAAATAACTGTATTAAAATATTAATTAGTTGATTTGCATTTATAAGATGATATTTTCCATGCAAGGAAATAAAGCAGTTCTGCCAGATGTGATACTACGTGCCCAATTTAAAGTCACTTTAATTACAGAATAATTAGTATTCTTCCAAACCTTAGTAATTAGTTCAGGATAAATAATTTACATTTCTAAGCTGTGTCCTCAAAAGCAGCTAAAGAAGGATATCTCTTGAGGAAAAGCTTATTCCTCACCTTCTGCATGTTGATGGTCTCTAAAGTGTACTTAAAGATGGGTAAATACATGATTCTATTATACAGATGCCTGTTAAATGATTTCTTTGCATTATAGCAGCACTGTAATGTAGCTGTATGATAAATAGCCCAACTTAATTTTACACTAATTCTGCTGGTTAAAAAATAACTTCTGCAGTAGCTTTAAAATGCATCCAGTGGTGTATAGTTAGAAATGAGAGGTGTGGTGCCAATGTACCATTTGGCACTATTTACCACTCGAGAATATTTGTATGTCAGTAGGATTAGAATATGTCAAGTGTGGTTTAAGCTTTTGTCAGTGTTTTATACTTTGGTATTTGTCTGCTACTGGGAGAGCATTTATTTTTTCAAACTTAAGAAGTGGGATGCTGCTACCAAATGTTAAGTGACATTTCTACCAGTTTCTACATTTGGCATGCAAAGCTGATACTGACTTCAGAATTCAATGATGAACTGAAGAGAAGGTGGCATTTAAATTACAGTCCTTCCAGAATAGTCCATGATACATCATTATTTTTTATCTACAGTCTCTGCCTCTCTGTTTTTTGTTGCTAATAGCTTATTAAAAAGTTCTTGACCAAAAAGCAATACCAGGCAGCTGCTGAGGGATGAATTTCAGTTGCCTGCGTTGGTCTCTACATACTGAACACAGCCATAAGGTTTTGATTGTGCTAGAAAACAAGCCAAAACAAATTCCAGAGCTGACAGGGATATTCAGAGTGGTTGAAACACAGGAAGTGTTAAATATGAGCTCAAGTTGGGGGGCTGATCGTGTAGGGAATTGCCTTGGTTTTGATTGTAATCATGGTTTGGAAAAGTTGGAGATGTTTGGCAGAAACAATCAAACGTATGGCATGCATTAGATTGTATACGCTCTGCCATATTTCAGCTTGTTAACATGCTACATTAATTGCTGTACAAAAGAAGACTTTAAGCCTATACAGAACAGCTCTCAAATTTCAGTGAAACCCCATTATTAATGAGGAATGGAGGTACAGAGAGTTAGGGCTGATAACTGTAGCCATAGCAACTGGCAGTTTGTAAGTATTTATTTTATGTATTTTTGGATTAGTTCCTACTTAGGACAGATATTCTAGAAATCCCTACATAGAGCCTGATGAACCACAGAAGTTACTTATACTGACACACTGCGTTTAGCACATCAGCTGGAAAAGCTGGTTATCACACTTCGATCACTGAGAAGCCTTTTCTGTATCATTTTCAAGTTCACGAAAGGTTTCAGGAATAAAAAGAAAGGTGGAGAAAGTAAGGGGCAGTGCAGGCACAAAGTATTAGAGTAATGTCAATGCTGCATGTTTTCTCTCTTACTGAGTGCAGTATGCACATCTGATCTCAATTAAGATCCAAGGACTACTGTAATACAAACATGAACTATTAACATTTCTGTTCCTGCTTTGTTGCAGTGGTTCTTGTAACTACATGATACTAATGAAACATAATTGAAAAAGTTATGTTGTTGTGAAATATTAGATATGAGAAGTAAGCAATGCCATTTTTAATTGCTATAAGGATTGTTGTTTCAACTCTTCACCACTACCTCTGTTTTCTACAAGGTCTTCCACTCCTTGCCAAACCATTTCATTTTGGAACCAATCCAGTTCTCATCAGTCATGGAAAAACTCCAGTGGATTGGGCTATTATTATTTGTGGTTGGAAAGGGAAGGTGAACTCACTTGTATGTGATTAAATGCTGACATTTTTAGCCAACTGATAAAATGGAAAAGGAAGAAAATAAGGATGATTAAACAGAACTTTCGGCCAAAGCCCTGTTTCCAGTTGCTCTGGCAGAGCCCATCTATCTTGCATGTGCCAAGCAGAGTATCAATACACAGTATTAGTAATAACGACAGTCATTTTCAGAAGGCTGAAGTATTAGAGCAGATGCTAATGAGTTCCGACTACAGTTTCTCTAACAGACTATATGAAAAGGTTAGGGTTTGGTTTAGAGACACGGCATCTTTGTTGTCTTGACAAGGGCAGTCTTTTCACCCCCAATGCTGAAATGGTTTGTTTAAATTTTTGTCATCATCTTCCTGTTCTTCAAGGCTTAAATTCAGAATCGACGTTTGTCTCTTAAAGTACTGAAGGTGCTGCAGTAGCTGACAGTAATGCCTCAGCCAGTGCCTTTCACTGCTTGCTTTTATAAGACCCTGTT